GTTTTAGTCGATTGAGATTGATACTCAAATTTCTGATTTTACACATTACCCTCTCTTCAGAATGTAGCAGGAAATTTTGATTTAGATAGGAATATTGATTCTTGATTATGTGATTTTTTTTTTTTATTATTGCAGGTGCATCAAGACATGGATGCTCCATTATCACATTATTTCATATTTACAGGGCATAATTCGTATTTAACCGGTAATCAGCTGAGTAGTGACTGCAGTGAAGTACCTATAATACAAGCATTAAAGAAAGGTGTCAGGGTTATTGAACTTGATCTTTGGCCTAACTCCGATGAAGATGGTATCGATGTTCTTCATGGAAGGTCATATATTATTATTACTCACTAATGAATCATGGTTTGTTGTTCTGTTCTTATATATATATATATATATATTAAAAGTGTATCCGACCGTTTCTTTTAATAGGACTCTAACATCACCTGTGGAGCTGATCAGATGTCTAAATGCTATTAGAACACACGCCTTTGATGTCTCTGATTATCCAGTTGTTGTAACTCTTGAAGATCATCTTACACCAAAACTCCAGGCTAAAGTTGCTGAGGTGAGAGCTTTATTTTTGGCATATTTCTCTATGAGAGCTTTCTTTGCTTTTAGTTGGTTACTATAATGATGGGTTAGAGATGTTGTGTTTGTAGATGGTTACTGAAGTATTTGGAGAAATGTTGTTTGTTCCTCCTTCCGGGGAATGCTTAAAGGAGTTCCCATCGCCTGCGTCTTTGAAAAAGCGTATTATCATCTCAACAAAACCTCCCAAAGAGTACAAGAAAGCAAAAGATGATGAGGATGTGGTGAAGAAAGATAAGACTTTGGGTGATGAAGAAGTTTGGGGAAGAGAAGTTCCAAACTTTGTTCCAAGGGACACAAGTGATGACAAGGTTTGTGTACGTAGAAACATATGTTGGTTTTCATGTTTTTTTTTTTTCATATGTATGAGTTGGTTTTTATTTCTTTCTTGTTGTAGAATGATTCAAACGGAGATGATGATGACGATGATGAAGATGATGATGATGATGATACGTTCAAGAAGAATGCGCCACCACAATATAAAAATTTGATTGCAATCCAAGCTGGGAAACCGAAAGGTGGAATGAGTGAATGTTTGAGAGTGGATCCTGATAAAGTAAGACGGCTTAGCTTGAGTGAAGAACAGCTCGAAAAGGCCTCAGAAAAATATGCTAAACAGATTGTGAGGTATTATTCTTTTGAATTCATGCTCATCTTCATCAAAAAGATTCAAATCAGTCCTACATAGATCAATCATTTAACCAAGTCTCCAAAAGAACATATTATGTTCCCAAGTGTTTTAAGAAACTCTGTTTATACATGGAGTATTTCAGGTTTACTCAGAGGAATGTGCTTCGGATTTACCCAAAAGGAACTAGAATTACTTCATCAAATTACAATCCACTTGTTGGCTGGAGCCATGGTGCTCAAATGGTGGCTTTCAATATGCAGGTGTTTCCTCCTAATATTTTTACATCTTCTCTGTTCCATTCCCTTTAACAGAACATCAAATCATCTTTCAAAGCCACATACTGAATTCTTGGAATGATTCTATATTGTGAAGGGACAAGGAAGATCATTGTGGGTAATGCAAGGAATGTTTAGAGCCAATGGAGGATGTGGATACATCAAGAAACCCGATATTCTGCTGAAATCCGACGCCGTATTTGACCCGGAAGCTACATTGCCTGTAAAAACAACACTAAGGGTCAGATATCTATCCTCTATTCTCTCTTTTTGATAAACATCATGAACTTATATTGTTTTTGATGTCTCTATATATATATTTCTAGGTAACTATATACATGGGAGAGGGATGGTACTACGATTTTCCGCACACACACTTTGATCGATATTCTCCACCTGATTTTTATACAAGGGTATAAAAAAAGATCTGCAAAACCTTAAAGTTTTGGTTTTGAGGCTAAAAAACAGTGAAACTGATAAAAACGTTCACAATATTTTCAGGTCGGGATCGCTGGAGTCCCGGCGGATACGGTGATGAGGAAGACGAAAACGTTAGAGGATAATTGGATACCAGGTTGGGACGAGGTTTTTGAGTTCCCATTAACGGTTCCAGAGCTTGCTCTTTTGCGTATAGAGGTGCATGAGTATGACATGTCGGAGAAAGATGATTTTGGAGGCCAAACATGCTTACCGGTCTGGGAACTGAGGCAAGGAATACGTGCTGTTCCTTTGCGTAACCAGGATGGTGTCAAGTGTAGATCCGTGAAGCTTCTTGTGCGCTTGGAGTTTGTGTGAGTATATAAACATGAGGGCATTAAGCGACTTATAAGTCAGTCGCTTTTCTGCGGAATGACTTTTTCTTTGTATTTTTGTTAAGCAAAAACGCAAACTTTGTGTGTATTTTTTCATTACGCGGATTTTTGTTGATTGGCAAAAATAACCTGCGGAATTGTGTTTAAAAACGCAATTCCGCCATTCTGCAGGTTACCAATCAGAGCCAAGATATGTTGTGAGTATTTAAGCACTTTAAACCGGTTCTGGTACAGGTAAGTCAACCGAGTTTGTGATTTCGGTTGGTAAGTTTGGTTATAGTGAGATACTGAGATTGTTCCGTAACATTTGAATGGTTGAATGAAGTAAACAAGAATAAACATGATACATATAAGCAAAAACTTGCGAGGACATTTCTTTGGTTTTTGTTTATTCGTTTTGCATCATAACGAAATTATGAAATGTTAAATTGCAATTCTGTAGATTCTTACTATAAACATGCGGAATTGTGGAATCATTCCACCATTATGAAATTTAATATATCGTTGTCAATTAGATCCACCGTTATTAATAAATGCATATAATATCTAGTCCTGAAACACAACACAAAAACAAAAGCTAAAAGAGTAAAAGGATAAATTCACTAAACGTATCGTATAATTGATTGCTTAGAAATCTTCTGCAATTTGGGAATACGTTTTGACTTTAAACTCTAGTGAGCCTAAGAACAAAGTGTTTCCCTAATCTACTGATTCTATCACTTACAATTATAACGTGAATTTATCTAATCAAACGTTTTATGTAAAAAGTGAGAAGTTTCAATTCTACGGAAGCTTCTGTTGTGTAGTGAAAACTGAGTTTGTGATTTCGGTTGCTTCACCGAACGCTCTGCTTATTTCTTTTTTTTATAAATATATAACGCTCTGCTTAACTTTGACTGATTGGCCGATTAAACCGGATAAGTAAACTGAGTTTATGATTTCGGTTGCTGGCTTTGGTTATAGTGAAAATGTTCCTTACTTAGTTTGTAGTATTGAGTATAAAACGACGTATAATTTTTTTTTTTAATGCTGATTTAGAAAGAGTGTGCACCATCCCACATTACTTGCACATCTTTGGCTTTCATTGCTGCCTTTAGGTTTTTATTAGTAATGAGATGATATAACTAAAAACTAACGAAGTCATTTTATTTCTTTGGTTTTGTTTTTAAACTTTTTGCATCATAAACGGAGTTAATAAGTGACCCCGGAAAACGAAAACAAAAAAAGGAATTTCTAAATGTAAATTGCAATTCTGTAGATTGTTACATTTGATGAAAAGTAAAGATGCGGAATTGTGGAATGATTCCACAATTATGAGACTTAGCAACCTACCAGTGAAAGCTGTAATGTCTGACATTTTTTATATTGTTGTTAGCTCCACCGTTGTTTTGTAAATGTATGAAAACTAATCGTGATTCCTAAACACCAAAATAATAGAGTAAACAAAATAAAAAATATTTTTTTTACAAGAAGTCATTTATTCGTTGGCCGTCCTCACCGCCATGATTGCCCCACCACCGTGCTGCCGCCACATTTTGTTAAAACAAAACAATTCATGTATAACTTCTTTTCTTTTTTTGTTCAAACATTCATATGAATTTATTCCGCGTGGAATAATATTTATTAACTTATGACGTATATTTAATAAACTAATACTCCACTAGTTAGTTCCATGGCCCATCGTAGGTCGTTATCCAATTTTGAAGTTGGAAACAACGCTCAACTCAAATGAATGGAAGTTAAATTAGCTGTCACGACAAAACTAACATTACCACGAAATAGTAGCACTGATTTTGTATCACTGCGCTTTGCTGATATACATATATTAATCACTTACAATTACATCAACAGAATCACTAAACGTTCCGTGTTTCATTGCTTAAAAATATTCTGCAATCTGTGAATGCGTTTTGATTCTCACAAAATCAAAGAATCAGGGTTTGTGAGAAAGATATAAAGGCTTACTACATGTCGACAACTATAAATGATGTTTTATCAACCATAATGAATTCATCATGTTATGATTTCTCTCGGTTTTAAAATCACTATGTTAATTTTTTATTTTCTATAAAAATGTTATGCTCTTGTATAAAATAAAACACTACGCTTTGTTATCAAAGTTTTTAGTAAAACGATTAAATTCCTATTTCCAAACATATAAAATATTCTATTAG